CAGATGGCAACGGTATATGAGCTTCATTATTGTATATTACTCTACACATCTCTACACATCTGCAGCATCACCAAAGCCTCAACACCACTGCACCACTGCACCAACCATATCACCCAATGCCATCATATCTCGAATTACTCTTGCTGAAGAGCCATGCCACACCAGTTTCCCATCTCACCGCTCCTCCTCTCGCTTCTCGCCCAGGCAGAAGCACCTAGAATCCAAGATCGCCATGAATCACGTTTGCATGGCCCACAAGCACCACCAATGATAAATCGGGCATCCCATTTTCCAGCTCACTTTTTCCTCACCTTGGTGTTTTCCTCGCTGCCAGATCAGTGAGGGGGACACGGACCACTTCCCACCCCTATATATTTTCCTCTCGTTCCTCCTCTTCCTCTTTTCTTTCTTTCCTTCTTTCCTCTTCACCAGGTAAGTCTTCCTTCCCCCTCCGTCTTTGGCTGATCGGTTTATAGGTTGGGGGTTTTCTCGTTTTTTCCTCCATAAGGGGATGATGATCAAAGGGTTCTGATGACAATGACCATCGCGCCTTCGGGCTGTCGAGGTCGAATGATCTTAACACTTGAGTCTGACCCAAAAAAAAAACATCAACTTTTTTTTTCCCTTTGCCTTGTCTCACTTGGTACAGAGACAAGGAAAGAAGAGGTAAGTCTTCTCCAGAGTGACACTGACCCAGTCACTCTGGCATTTCTTTCTGTCTGCCCCTCGTAGATCCCCTCCACTTCCACTTCCTCTTCCACCTCACCTCACCTCACCTCACCTCACCTCCCTTCCACTTCCACTCCCACTTCACCTCCGCCTCCACATGATGATGAACAAGATTCCTTCCGCTGCCAGTGCAGCGATGCCATGATCTCTCTGCTCTATCTGATGGACTCTCCCCCTACTCCCTGCCTCCCCCACCACATCACCTCGACATTCACTTCCACTCCCACTCGCACTCCCTCCCACTCCCACTTCCACTCTGACATTCACTTCCACATCTTGTGGTCATGTTTGCTCCAACGCAGACGCCCTTGAGTGATGACAAAAGGGTTCTTTCGAGTGCTGCTGGCAATGACAAAAAAATTCTGTCTGACACTGATCGATCGGCTCAAACCTGTTTGACGTCGCTTCGGTCAGCCTTGCGCGTCTGCGTTGGTAAACATGATCGCAACCTGGTGCTACTGACTTTGACTTCTCTTCTAGGTCCTCCCCTCTCTTCACCTTGGTACGTCCATCTTCCCACTCCCTCTACCTCGAACTTCTACGCTTTTTCACTTTGTCTTTCACCTGTAGGTCCACTCTTGCCCCAAGGCCATCGTCGTCCAAGACACGCACGCGCCTTGGATGATGACATCAGGGTTCTGCTGAATGCCAACGGCTATGACAGAGAAATATTGTGTCTGACGCAGATTGAATTGCTCTCTCTGTCGGCGCTTGCGTGTGTTGGCATCGCTGTCCTTTGGTAAGTCTTATTTCAGTTACGTTCTTTCTCTACTTGCATGTCCACTGTGTATCCTTGCCGCATACACAAGCACCTTGGGTGATGACAAAAGGGTTCTCTTGAGTGCCACTGGCTATGATAAAAAAACTTGTGTCTGACGCAGAGAGACTTGCTCTCTCTGTCAGTGCTTGCGCATGTTGGCCTCGTCCTTTAGGTAAGTCACCTTTCAGTTACGTTCTTTTTCTTGTTTTTCGTTTTCCGCCGTCTGCACTGACAACACATGCATGCACCGCGGATGATGACAAAAGGGTTCTGTTAAGTGCTTCTGGCAATGAAATAAAAAACTCGAGTCTGACGCAGAGTGATTCGCTTCACTCTGTCGGTGCCTGCATGTGTGACCTCGTTGATTTCGTTGACATAGCTAGGTATCGGTTTCTCTCGGCTCCTCGAGCCTCGTCCCATCGTCGCCCCTCAAGGTAAGTGCCTTCTAGGTGTCTGATTCTCTCTTCTGGTTATGTAGTCTTCGACCATCATGCAATTTTGCAACACACGCAAGCACTTTGGGTGATGACACAAGGGTTCTGTTGAGTGCCACTGGCGATGATATAAAATTCCAAGTCTGACAGATTGACCCGAGTCAAGCTTTGCTTGCTCTGATTCTTTCTCTGGCGCCTGCGTGTGTTGGCAAGAGAAAAACACATTTCCTTCTGTTCTCTGTTTCAGACAGTCTGCTGCTTTCTACGCTTCTTGTCTAGGATTTCTACGCTTCTCTTTCAGGGTTCCTCTTCTCGGTAATGCCTCCTCCCTCCCCCCTCCCCTTCTCCCGAACGATTCTTGCCCAGATACACACAAGCACCCCAATGATGACGAAAAGGGTTCTGTTTGAGTGCTGCTTGTCAGCCATGAGAACAAAAAATTGAGTCTGAGGGATCCATGCTTGTGTGTGCTGGCAAAGAGAAAAACACAATCTTTCTGTTGTTTGTTTCAAATAGTCTGCTGCTTTCTACGCTTCTCTTCTAGGGTTCTCTTCCAGGTAATGTCTGCTCCCCTTCCTCATTCCCCCCCAGACCATTCTTGTCCCAAAACATACAAGCACCCCAATGATGACGAAAGGGTTCTGTTTGAGTGCTGCTTGTCAGCCATGATAACAAGAAACTGAGTCTGAGGGATCCGTGCTTGTGTGTGTTGGCAAAAGAAAAACATAGTTCCTTCTGTTATCTCTCTCGAATAGTCTGCCGCTTTCTGTGCTTCTCTTCTAGGGTTTCTACGCTTCTGTTCTAGGGTTCCTGTTCCAGGTAATGTCTGCTCCCATTCCCCCTTCCCCCCGACCATCCTTGCCCCAATACACACAAGCACCCGAATGATGACAAAAGGGTTCTGTTTGACTGCTGCTTGTCAGCGATGAAAGCAAAAATTTGAGTCTGACGGATTCGTGCTTGTGCGTGCTGGCAGCAGGTATACCGCTAGGTAAGTCCCATGTACCCCTGTCTCCCGTAATTTTTGTCTTCTTCACTTTTGTCTCCAGATACCACTTGATCTAGGCTCCTCATCCGCTCCTCTGACTCTTCTGCCAGAGCGCATAAGTACTCTGAGTGATGACAAAAGGGTTCTGCTGAATGCTGCTTGTCAGCGATGAAATCAAATTCCGAGTCTGACAGTTTTGTGCTTGTGTGCGCTGGCAGATAGAAAGTCACCAGGTAAGTGGACTCTTCTTTCAGCCTTTTGCAATTCTATGTTTCTATATATTGTGTTCTCTTCCCGCTTCCCCTGCTATCTCTTCCAAGCACACAAGCGCTGTGAGTGATGACAAAAGGGTTCTCTTGAGTGCTGCTGGTCAGTGATGATATCAAATTCTAAGTCTGACAATACTGTGCTCTGTGTGTTTGGCGAGATAAATTCCCAGGTAAGCCTTATTTTATTTCCTTCTACTTTCCTTCTTGTTCCTTTCCATTTTTCACTCTGCGTTTTCTCTTTTAATGGATCTCGATTCTGCTCCTTGATCTAGTGCCTCTTTGCAATGCACACACACTCAGGATGATGACACAAGGGTTCTTTTCCTGCTCCTACGAGCAATGATATAAAATTTGATGTCTGACGAGCTATTTTCTACACACTCTCTGTGCTGTGTGCGTTGTTCTTTCTGCGTGTTCTGCTTTTATTCTGTCGCAATGATGAAAAGGGTTCTTACGAGTCAATCTGGGGCTCTAAAGAAGCCGAAGTGACAATGACCAAAACTCCATTTCTGAGCGACTGCTTTACATTCTCCTTGGCCTACTTTGTGGAAACCTGTTAGCTGCAGAGAACTCGGGAGAAGTTCCCCTCTCTGTAATCTTTGGTAAGTTATGTCTATGCTCCCTTTTCTACGTTATGGTATAATGATGAGCAAAAATACGATAACTAGATGAACACGCCTCGAAGGACATCTTCAGGGTGGTTTCATGAGGAGACTGCATTGGCAAATATGGTACTCTGAATGCACTTTATTCTCTTACTACTGATATCATTGGAGGTCTGGCGGCTAACTTTCCTCAACTAGATCTTCACCCATATCTCTCTGTCAATACGACCAGTAAGTTCTCCCTTCTTCACTTTCTCTACTTCTGGGACGATTAGACTTCAATCAAGAACACGACTCCACGCCATGAGTGCGCAGGTCAATTCAAAAACATTCTGCGATATCTAGGTTCTTCTGACCACAATTTCCTCTTATTAAAGCATTCTGCTTTTGACTTGCTGCTTTAAATGCTAACTCTTTTATCCATTTAGGAATGATATGATTTTGACGCTCCTCCTCACGATCGACCATATACAGTATGCACACCTCCCCAGTCCTCTTCTCGTGCACGAATCAATAACAATATAAACAAGAACACAATTTCAAGATGAGTGCGCTGTGAGACCACTTCAACTTGAAGAATCTCTCGCGTTTCAGGGTTCTTCAACCACGACATTCTCTTCAGAACGTTTCTGGCATACTTTGCATGACTTTGAAGGCTGAACCGGAGTATTCTTATGGATTACACAATACTGGAGTTCTCGTTTCTTGGCTGATAGATAGGTTTTGGGATGTGTACTTCTGAACCCTTTGCTATACGATGGAGTGATTATACCGGGAACATGACTGCATGATTGTGCTACGAGAGGCAAAATTTGAAGTTTCCTCTTGTAGCAGTCTCAGGGTTCTTTCTGACCGTTTCTTTACTCCTCTTGCTGATGCTTGTGTCTTCACTTTGGGCCGAGTTTGCTGACCATCCCCCTTCACCAGGACATGAAAGTCAGATAGCTGAATAAATATAGAGTAGTATAGAGAATCAGATCTCTTTCACATATTAATTTCCTTCCACTGAGCAAGTTATTTGAGTCACGCCATCTGCTGTCACTTGAATCACGTGGCATGACCTCTGCAGTAGAAGTGAAGTTAGAGGGCATATCACTACCTCTGCGTGCCTTGGCAGGACAAGTGAAACCTGATTCTTCCATCACACAAACACTACAACCAACAACTTTACACATCGGCTTGAAACCACTCGAAAGTTACGCAACGACTGCCAAGATGATGCTGCAGGACGTTCTCATCTTCCTCGTCAAAGTGGGCTTTGGCCTGCTGCTGAGGCAGCACATCTACATGATCATCCGCGAGGATGTCGGACCGCTCGCAGAGGTACAATCTCAACAAAACCAAACTTCTCTTTGTGTGTCTGACGGACTTCTAACATATCTTTCAGCGCTACTTCCGCTGGAGAAACGAGCAGCAGCGCGAGAACGAGCGCCAGGCCGAGGCCGAGCCCGAGGCTGAGGACGTCCGCAATGCCGAACCTGAGGAGGCTCATGTCCCCAAGAGAGCCAAGGTCAGAAAGACTACCTATAGACGCTACAAACGTCGCGGTGAGTTATTGTGAAGTTGAGGAATGAAGAAAAATATGGTACTGATGAAGGTTTAGGCGGACATGCGAACCCCCGACAGCGCAAGGCTAGGCATGCTGAGGAGCGTCGCCGAGCTGCTGCTGCTGCCGCCAGGCGTCGTGATGAGTAACTCGCATTCATGAAAAAAGTTCTGGTACGGACAATGGAATCAAATTTGCTGGAAATTTACGGAAACTACGGGATATGGAATCAAGTTTAAATTTGACATATATGGAAACGCTCCAAGCATCTACACTCTCCAGCTATTATAGGAACATCTAGATGTTTCTATCTATAGTTACTGGAATATAGAAAAGCTACAGGCATCCATAGGTATGATAATAGAAAACAATTTTGGTAAAAGAAGCTCTCTATTATAGGTCAAGGGGCGGTAAGTAGTAGACATTGTAGATCGTAGTGGTGAGGATGCCTTTGAGATATGTGGAAAGGCACTTGAAGAGAAGTCCCTGAGGAGGGATCTTCCAGACATTGTGTAGATAGCACAAGATCGCACAAGATGGCCTTTGCGATCACTCGAAGCATACAGGGATGTATGAAAATGGTGATATTGAGCTCTCTTGCCAGTATCGGCGGCATAGAGTTAAGCACCGACAAACTCTTTTAGCTGCTGCTAAAGGAAAAAGAGATCGTAGTACTCGATGTAGCATAAGGGGAGAAATTGAGTCACATAGAGGAGTACAGGTTACGTGATGGTGTCAGGAACCACTAGCAGTCAATGAATTCCATTCCATATACGAACTGCGATAACCAGCAGCCGAAAATTCTTATCCCACATCCCATGTCAGGCACTGAGGCTAACTACCAAGTTGTTCCTCCAGTCATGCCATATCAGATTATCAGAGCTCCCAGAAGTTGAAGCGAATAAACTGGAAGGCCAGGAAGAGTACGACAAAAAGAGCCACGACCGGAATCCAAGAGCCATTAAAGTTGAAGCACACAACGAGAATGCTCATGATGCTCCAAAAGATGACAGCGGCGATCCAGTACTCCAGCTCGCGGTTGGGTTCGGGTGGGACGTCAACGCTGATGAAGCGAGTCGCGTTCCACTCAGGGCCGCGGTATCTGTCTAAAAAGGGGGTTAGCTAGGAATTGTTATCAAGAATGTGAAGCGGGGATGGACGAGCGTACATCGGGTGTTGGGTTCCATGGTGTACCGCATGATGGATGGTTGTTGGATTTAGACGTAGCGTGAGAAGGCTTCGTAGACAATGCGGATGTGGCTGTTGGGCTCGGCAAAATGGATAGTCTTGCTGTAGCAGATGGTCAGTTTTCAGAAATATACGAGTAGAAAGATGAATAAGGTAAAGGGGGTGCAGATGATGGTGATGATGATGATAATCGTGATGGAAGAAAGATTGACAAGACATGTTCCTGACGGAAAGATCGTCAAGGAGAACCAGAGAGATTGTTCGAAGATGCTCCAGTAGGCGAGGTATGAGGCAGATAATCGCCACGAGAGACGAGGTAATCATTCTCAAAGATGGTAAGATACTCTCTGGCCGTCTCCGCGGTGACACGAGGAAAAGGGGGCAAAGTATCACTCCAAGAAATCCATCAAGATTCCCAGAAGCAGAAGGAAACCAGGAGGAGGAGGAAAAAGAAGAAAAGAGTGAACCGTACCTAGCCTCACTGCGATCGCGACGACGAGAACGGAAGCGGAAACGCTGCTTGATAGCTTCGAAGAACTTGCAGATTCTGGGGAGTCCGGACTTGATGCAGAGAAGAATAAACAGGACGACAACTCGCATGTTGGAAGGGAGCTGAGTAGAAATGTCCGAAGAAGAGAAAAGAAAGAAGGAGAAAACGGAAAAAACAACGAATGGGCTGAGCTGAAAAGATAATGCGTGATGGCTGGGTTTGGGCGGTGCTGGGAGTGCGGCCAGCTGGCAGCGGGCGGTTTTGCTGGCGACCACCTCGCCCGTCCTTTGACGGCTGTTGCAGTGCATCCCTAACCCTGGACTTCAGGGTTGGTAGGAAAGCATGGCTCTTCACACTTGTTAAGCATCAGATTGAGTATCGAAAGAGTAAACAAAAGTCATGTAGATTCGTGCTATGCTGTATATCTCAATAGTGACAGTAACCGTCAAGATTCTCGTGATCAGCATGCTATTGCCGCCCAAAGCTACAAATGCCCACAACGCCAAATCCAACAGTAGAATAGAATACACTCAGAGGCCTTTTTGCCTTGCTTTTTCACTCCTCTTGCTTTTCGTCTCGGTATATATACTTGCTGTTCCTCCTCTTTCTTCTCTTTCCGCTCGTGGACGCTTGTGCAGTTGCTTACCAGCCGCGGCCAGCAAGCTTCTCCTCGGGCTTCATGGAGTCGCAGTTGATACCAACCATGGCCTCACCAAGGCCAGTGCTGCACTCAGCAAGGACCTTGGCGTCGCGGTAGTGCGTGACGGCACGGACGATGGCCTTGGCGCGCTTGGAAGGATCGCCAGACTTGAAGATGCCGCTGCCGACGAAGACGCCGTCACAGCCCAGCTGCATCATGAGAGCGGCGTCGGCAGGGGTGGCGACACCGCCGGCGGCGAAGTTGACCACGGGGAGACGGCCCAGCTCGGCGGTCTGGCGCAGCAGCTCGACGTCGACCTCGAGCTTGCGGGCGAGCTCGCGGAGACGGACAATGCCGCCCTCGGCGTAGGCAGCCTTGGCCTGGGCAATCTCCCTGTTGACCGTCTTCATGTGGCGGACGGCCTCGACGACGTCGCCGGTGCCGGCCTCGCCCTTGGTCCGGATCATGGCGGCGCCCTCGGCGATGCGGCGCAGGGCCTCGCCGAGGTTGCGGCAGCCGCAGACAAAAGGCACGCTGAAGGGGCTCTTCTCGACGTGGCTCTCGTCGTCGGCGGGCGTCAGGACCTCGGACTCGTCAATGTAGTCGACGCCGAGGGCCTCGAGGATCTGGCACTCGACAAAGTGGCCGATGCGGGCCTTTGCCATGACGGGGATGGTGACGGCGTCCTGGATCTCCTTGATCATGGCCGGGTCGGACATGCGGGCGACGCCGCCGTCCTTGCGGATGTCGGCGGGGACGCGCTCGAGGGCCTGCCTCCTCGGCGATGCGGGCCTGCTCGGCGTTGGTGACGTCCATGATGACGCCGCCCTTGAGCATCTTGGCGAGGCCGGCCTTGAGGGCGAAGGATGAGGCAGGGGAGGAGGAGGCAGCGGCGCCGGAGCCGTTGGTAGCGACGTCGTTGGTCATGGTGAAGGTGGTGGTGATGAGAGTAATAGGAAGAGAGTCTGTGGGAGACGAGAGTCCAGAGTCAGCACAACGGATCAAACTGTGGCTTAGGAGGGGTAATGCGTAATGATCAGTTATCAGGGACTGTACCAGGAGGTAAAATGTGTCTTGAGGGTATCAAGGAACTCGAATTGTCTGCTTTGCGAGTCTGGACAGGAAGTTGATCGCAGTCGAGATGTTGGAGATGCCTTCAATATATGTGGCGGGGCTGGTCCGGAAGTGGTGGCAGTGGGGGAGAGAACGCAGGCCGGCCGCGGGGCAAAAAAGATACGGGATTGAGTCAATTACAGTAATTGGGTCTAGAAGGAAATAGTACGGAGCAGCCAAGACGTAGAATATTACGATAATCACAAGAGTACCTCGAGTGCTACGTCTGACGAGGATGTACTTCTGACAGGTCTTCTGTGTTGGTGGCTCCGACTTTGGCCTCTAGCCTCACACACGGAGTACATCGGCACATACTTGGTGCCTCTCCTCGTCCCGTTTGCTCTAGCACATGCTTGGACAGTGTTCTAGTGACTGCGGCTTGAATGAGATGCATGGCGGGATGCGGGCGCGTTGCTTTGCTTTGCGGAGGAGGCGAAAACGGACCTGAGCCGTCATTTGCCTCCTTTTGCTGCAGGAACATGTCCTGTTATTCTGCGAAATCACGGTAACACAAGCTCTGTCTGGTATCGAGCATCAGAGCATGAAGTAATCGTGCATGGTATCTATGTACAAAGGAGGAATGCCCGATGTAGGAAAGCAGCAGCAGGGCGGAGAGAAAAGCCGCAGCCAGTTGATTGACCATGCAGATGCAGACGGGAACCGAGAAGAGGGAACAGAATGAGGCGACAGGGGGTGGGAGAAGGCCATCGCCAGGCCAGTGGCGGCAAGCATCGGGATTCAGAATGCCGGCGTGAGGAGGTACAATCAAGCAGAGTCCTTTTGAAGAGTCCTTTTGAGTGCACTATCTTTGCATCAATTCAAATGGTTTGCCCTCATCTATAGTGCGAGATTCTTGAATAACACAAATGTCACCAGGCAGACAGAGAACAAGATGAACAAGGCCTTCCCCCTTGCGAAGCCATCACGCTCCATGCGGGATATCGATTAACCAGCAATCCCTCCCTCACGTCAAGTGACCGGCAAGCTGCATCTCGAAGCCCGTCGAGAACTCTTTAGTGGCACGCCAAAAGACCCCGGAGATCTCAGTTGCAAGGCGCAAATCCAAGATGGCCGGAACACCACAGCATTGGCCGGCCCGGGCGAGGGCTCTTTCGCTGGGTGCCTCTTGATGGGCTCCTATTCACACTGGCTACAAGGCGTCAGCCAATGACTCGATCAGTACTACGGCCCCTCTCACTATTGCCTTGTCCTGCCTAGCACCGGCAGTCGTGAGCCTTCTTTCTGGAGATCGAGAGCCTTCGTGCAGCTGGGCTTGGCCTCTTTGGGCGACTCCGTGGGCGCCTCATGCAGGTCGATGCGGCCCCCGGTCCCCAGTCGGACGGGGTAGCGTCCTGTGTGCATCTGCATTGCATTCTGCATCTGCCATTCTGCATGATGCGGCTTCCGTCGTTGCGGAGCACCGTAACTGTCGATACCCAGGCCGTGGATTCTCTCTCTACCTATGTACAGGTAGCCTGGAGCGTTGACGTAGATTACCATCAGGAGATGAAGTCGCAGAATAGGCAATCCCGCCAACGAGAGGACCCGAATCATTCCGATGGCGGAGCAACAAGCAAAGAGTCAGGCATGGAAATCTCTTTTCCTTCTACTAAAGGAGACGCGGAGGAGATACTAGGCAGTTGATGCGAGGTGCAAGCGTGTAGTGCTATCGACTGGACGCTCGATGGTTTTGCTTGGAGGCATGGCCCCCCTGTAACCGTCACCAATCCTTCTTTGGACGACAAGCACCTCTGCATACCTACCTAGAGCTACAGATGGAGACTCAAGACCCGTTGCATGCCGCTGATAGCCAAATAACGCTACATATCCCAGATTGCCCAGCTTTGCAATTATCCCATGAGTAAGCCTGCTCTACATATTCGTCCAAGTACAACTACAGCCCTCAACTCTCTTCTCACAGTATTCGGCCCTGAAATAGGGGACAAAGTCCCTGAAAAGACGCCACAGGTCCCCCAAAACTGGGCTCAAGCCACACTGCACTCACTGTCACTCTCACTTGCTCATCACCCCGCCACCCCTCCAATCGCAAAAAATAAATAATCATTCCGACTACCGGCGCCTCGTCCTCTTATCAATTCTCACGCAGATCAGACTTGACAACCCCGTCCTTCGTTTTCCAACCCCGAAACATTCACAAACACCAAGTCCCCTCCCAAGCAAACCCCCCTGCATGTCCGACCTCGTCGTTCGATTTCATTACGACCCGCCACTTCCTCCTTCCTCGCAAGCAGCCGCAGCAGCAAAGATGATGTCCCTCACTGTTGGCGTCTTGGCCCTGCAGGGCGGCTTCATCGAGCACATCGACCTCCTTCATCGTGCCGCCTCCACCGTGTTCCCCTCGATGCGCCCCGAGGCTGTTTTCACGGCCATCGAGGTTCGCACGCCCGCGGATCTCGACCAGTGCGATGCCTTGATCATTCCCGGTGGCGAGAGCACCACTATCGCTTTTGTGGCTCACCAGTCGGGCCTCTTGGAGCCTCTCCGCGACTTTGTCAAGTGAGTTCCGGTCCTTTTTTCTCAACTTTTCTTCTTGCCATCTCGATTGCTAATCAGAATGCAACAGGGTCAAGAGAAAGCCCGTCTGGGGCACCTGCGCCGGCCTCATCCTCCTCGCCGAGCAGGCCCACGGCGCCAAGATCGGCGGCCAGGAGCTCATCGGCGGCCTCGACGTTGCCGTCGCCCGCAACCACTTTGGCCGCCAGCTCCAGAGCTTCCAGGCCACCATCCGGCTCCCCTTCCTGGGCGAGAACCAGCCCGTCAACCAGTCCGAACCGGTGGACGAGGAGTTTCCGGCCATCTTCATCCGGGCTCCGATAGTTGAGGAGATCCTGAACGACAATGTGGAGGTCCTTGCCACGGTCACCCGCGAAGATAAGGTCAAGCGCGGTTCTACCGTTGGCGAGAAGGAGAAAGACGACGTCATTGCGGTTCGACAAGGCTCCATTGTGGGCATGAGCTTTCATCCTGAGCTCACTGAGGATCCTCGCATCCACGCCTGGTGGCTTAGACACATTCTGAGCACTATCTGATTGATCTACTGGTTTCTAGTGGTCTATCTCAAGCATCATGGCGCCGCATTTGTTCTTGCTTTTACAATCTGATTTCAGTTTCAAAGCTTCATGCAAGCTCAAGGGTTACAAAGGGGTTAAAGGTTTCAAAGATATATCAAGTCTTTACATAGACGCATAGTTACGGTAGCATCCGGCGTCCACACGTTTAAATAAACGGTTATGATTCATTTCGCAAGGCTCTCTTCAAGGGCCCTCAAATTCAAGGAACTGCATGTAGATTACTAAATATTTCTCTTCTCATTCTACTATCAGCTCTTCATAGCAGCGTCATAGTTTGGAGGATCTCCCATGATAGGGACTGGCATCCCCAGGGCCTCGTAGATCTCAGCCTTGCCAAGCGCCCTTACAACATCTTGCACTTCCGGCGCATGGGTATCGGCTCCAGCTTCCCGTAGCAGGCGAACCATGTCATAGTCCAGCCTCATGAGCGCCTGAACCAGTGGCTTGACGCCGTTCTCTCCCACACTGTAGTTGGGATCCGCCCCGTAGTGTAAAAGGGCCTCAGCAAGATCCTTTCGGTCGTGGTCGATGACATACTTCAGCAGAGTATCACCATTCTGCATTTTGGCTGTCGTCTTGGCCCCATTCTGTAGCATGAGCGAGATAATTTCCGCGAGACCTGCCTCTACAGCATAGCAGATAGCAGGTGTCTTGCTGAAACCATCCACCACATCTGCTTTGGCTCCCTTGGCAAAAAGGTGGCGGACGATATCGATCTTGTCCTCGGCCGAGATTTTGGAATTCTTGATGGCGAGCAAGAGGACGGGTTGCGAGTGCCAGTCTTTGGTGTTTGGATCCGCGCCCCAGTCGAGGAGCAACTTGGCCGTCTTGAGCCTTCGGTTGCCAATCTCATCTGCTAGCAATGGCATCCCGGAAATGGTCTTGCCTTTGGGATCCGCTCCCCTTTTGAGGAGCAGCTCCGCCATCTCGTAGTCCTTCTTGTTGAGAGCCATCGCGAGGAGGGTTTGACCTGAGATGTCTTTAGATTTGATGCTCGCACCCGCCTCCAAGAGCAGCTCCACGAGTTCCATATTCCTCTTTCGTACCGCTTGCGCAATAACGACTTCGCCGCTAATGCTCTTCGTTTTTGCGCTGCACCCCTGCCCCAGAAGGAATCGAATCCCATCCATATTCCCAGACGAGACAACGTCGACAAAGTAAGGTTGCCCAGAAACGCTCTTCTCGTCCACACTCGCCCCCCTGTCTATAAACATCTTGGCACACCTGAGACTGCCCACCGAGGCAGCCAGAAACAAGGGCGGCATGCCCGACCAGCCTGACCCAGAGGTGCTCGCTCCCGAAGCCAGAAGCAAGCGTGCCGCGTCTTCCTGGTCGTTGAGGATGGCGCACTGGAGGGCGTTTTTGCCGTTCTCGTTGCGGCCGTTGATGTTGGCGCCTTGGGTGAGGAAGCCGGCGATCTGCTGGATGTCGCCGATGGAGGCGGCTTGGCAGAGGGCGGAGACGAAGGGGCCTGGTTGGGGGGAGAGGGATTGGGCGAGTGCTTTGAAGGAGTTTTTGAAGACGGAGCCCCATGATAGCCCGCTGGGTTGGCTTGGCTGAGGAGTTGAGGAAGATGATGGTGTTGCTTCGGTGGAGGATGGCCTTTCGGGTTCTGGTTCGGCGGAGTATGGAGGTGGTTCAGCGGGTTCGGCTTCCGACTGGGTGGTCATGAATGGGTTGGGGGGGACTTTGCTTCCGGATGCCTCGTATGTTTGGCCAATGTCTAGAAGAATGCTCCTTTTCGCTGTTGAGGCTTCGGATGCATGGTGTACTTGGGTGACGAGATCGCTCGATTGCAGGTGTGAGAATCTCGCCTCCTGCTGAGATTTGTCCTCTCTATTGAGCAAGGGGTTAGCTAAAATTTCGACCTGGAGCTCAAGGTTCGCTCACATCTTGACAATGTCTGCCATTGATTCCAGAAGCCTGCTATTTGCCATAGCCATCTGGTAATAAGCCACCACAAACTCAACATTCAGACTCTCAAGGTTATCCGGCTGCAAGCGCATCAACTGCTTATACAGCACCGTCATCATTATATCGCACCTCTCTAGATGCTCCTTCACTCCATCCTGAACCAGCATCGCCACCGTTGAAGTCACAAGAGCAACGTCCAGCTGCGAAGCCCGCTGATTGAGCTCCTCCAGCGCGGTGGCCAGCGACGTCAACATTGGCAGGACATGCCTGTGGCTTGAGCCGAGCGCTTCGATCAGGGATCGGAGTTCATTCGCGCTGGATATTGCCCGTTGAGAGAGTCCGGAGCAGAGGGTTGTGAGGGAGCTGATTGAGCGGCCGTCCATTGCGGGCGACGTCTGCAGCTGAGCGCAGGTTCTGTCTGTCGTCTGGTGTGTTTGTCGCGGGGTATTTGGAAGATGAGAGGCCTCCTTCAATTGTGAATGGTGTGTATAATAGGTAGGTAGCCTATCGTTTCTCCAATTCTTTCGGCGGGAATCCTTCAAGCCGGGAATAAGACTGCTGCAATCAGCCTCTCGAGAGTGTCTCTTTACGTCAAGTAACGCTCTTTCTGCGTCTTCTTAACTCGATATTTGGGCATGAAGAAAGACATCTTGTTTCTTCAGTCGACCTGTCACTCTTTTATTGCTTCTTTCGAGCGCGGCTGAAGGTGGGCGGCCTCGTAGGCGATGACGCAGCCTCTCCCATGTTTGCGTAACGGCGGCCGGGGTTGGTTTCCTAGCATCCAACCAACATTGATTAGCCTGAGAGGATTCTGTCAGCGCAATGGGCATTTCGTACTTCACTGCTACTTTGCTCATTGATAACGACTCATTTTGCCGAGAAGGCTTTGGGCTCCAGGGTTAGGGTTAAGAGGGGAGATTCGAACTTACAGACAACGTTAAAGGCAAACGGTCAAGTATCGCCAAGCTGGGTCGGCAATCCGTATAGCTTGTGTGATGCGTGTGCTTGTTTGTTTCGCGGGGGCTGGGGAAGAGTATTTCTACCTTACCTTATGCTTAAACCAGGGGAGTAAAGATGTCCCGTCTGTTTCTAGCCCTGCAAGTGTCCGGGGTGGGATGGCCCGCTTCTGTCTTTTGACTGGGTTTGTCGCTGCGAGTGCAAGTTTCTGACGGTTCATTGACCCCTGTCGCGATGGCTCAGCCCTCCACAGCCACACTTCGGGACAAGCATGTCTTTTAGTGACTCTGTATGAACTTTCCTTACCAAGTACAAGCATTGTTCGATAGAGGATACTATAATGTTTACTCTGTAGAGACACAATGCTGATCCAGTGTTCGTAGTTTGCTGCAATTCACAGACTGGCGCTCTAGTGTTGACTTCTCGTCATCAAGAATAGAGGAATATCCTGCCATTGTACCATGTTATGTATAGCTTTATAGATGGGTGCGTTTGAACCATGAAGAAGCCCATATCCATAACCGCAGAATAAGCACAGTTTCCCCAGTCATTACCATTCTCCAACAATTACCCAAAAACAAACCCTCACCTACCTATCGCCTTTTTTTGTGCTCGACCACATGTCTTCAAGAGTCTTCTTCTCCGCCAACAAGTCGCAGTTGTTCGTACCCCATTTATTCTTATACAACTTCCGCCCATCCTCCGCCATCTCCCACCAAGCAACCTGGAAGCCTGCAGGATCATACGTCCACGGCTCCCCCTTTCCTCCTTTCTGCATGTTCTGCCATGTATTGCGGCCGTGGGAGTTGCCCAGCTTTTCATCTTGGAGCTTTTGTAACTCCTTTCTAAGAGCTTGGAATCGTTCAGAGTTCGGCGCGTCCTCGTCCGTGGCGTTGGTCGACTCGCCGTCGTTCTTCTTCGTCGGAGAAGGCGGGAAGAACTTTTCTTCGGGGTTGTCGACAAAGCCAGCTACATCCCATATGTGGCCCGCATCGACACCGTCAATCTTATAGCCCATCATCTTCAGCCGTCCATAGGCATCGCAGTCCGTAGTGTAGTAGGGGATGAAAATATCCCACTGGCCGATATGTCGCCATGCCTCGACGTTGACCAGCGTGAGGTAGTCAAAGTTGAAGAACTTGACGGCCCATTTGCTTTCACCCGAGATGCGAGAAGACTCGGCTTCGTCGAGAACCTTGAGGACGCGTTCGTAGAACGACTCGTACGGTGTCCTTTCCTCGTGGCTGAGGATCCCGACGTCCATGTGGCTCCAGAAAAAATAGGGCCAGTGACGAGCCATTGCTACCCTAATCAGGAAATTTTGTATCTGGGCAAAGTTGAGAAGCACGGATGTCTGCAGTATCGAGACGCCGTATCTGTAGCGGAACAGGTCATAGTCGAGGAAAAAGGGGTTCGACTGCGACAGCAGCTTCAGGTTGTTGGCATCGGCAGTACCGCTGTTGTCAACGATGATGATGTCTTCTCTCGGCCATCCACTGGCAATGTATCCGAGAACAGTCTGTCGCATCATGGCGTTGTTTCTCGTAAAGGGAATGAAGAGCGGCGTTTTCGGTCGATGGCGCGGAGGCTCGTTGTACGACGCGACAAGGGGGAAGAAGTTGTTTCCCTGCGCAGGGAAGTACATTCCATAATCGAAGTATGACTCGCCCAGCACGGGTGTTGCCTCGGGTTCCTTGTTCTTTGAGAACATGGGGACGATGGAGTCTGAGTAGGAGAATGATTGCCGGGTAAGACTGGTGACGCGAGACGGGTCGATGAGCTTCACGAAGACAATCGCAGCTGCGGCCACTCCAAGAAGCAGGATGGCCATCTTGAGTCGATAGTAGCGCCGTGACTTGCGGGCAGCGATTCTGGTTTCATCGTCGCCATCTTCTTCTTCGTCCGTGGGAAAGTGATGGAGGCGAAAGGCACCAGCTTGAGCCGCAATCCAGCCCGGCCTGCGGGAGAAGGACGAGATTCTCGAGAAGATGGCGGCAACAAACGAAAGTAGACCCATCTGAGCAACTTTTACCAGATATCAGGAGTAGCTGCAAAGGTCTCTAGTGGGAGAAATTGAAGCGAGCGGAGATGGTAAAGTTGCCCAAGCTGAGGTACGGAGAGCGTTGATGAGACGAAAGCACAAACTCTTTCGGCTTTCGAAACTTCATTATAAAGCCGCCACCTTACGATGCCTCCCTACACCACCTCTGACTCGACAGCCTGGGGTTGGCCAAAATGAGCCACAAATCCCCATGTCATGGTTTGCCCAAGGAGCCGTCCTATCCTGCCGTGTCTCGTATTGGAAAGTCTAACATGGGCAATGCAGCGAAAACGGGTCTGTTGGGACGCGCAACAGGCCCTTTCGATTCACTAATCGGAAATACTTGCGGCTGCTTGTGCTTTCCGATACTTGTTACGGAGGGAAACGGGCACTATTCCCGTGAGTTACAATAGGTGCTTGGGGATGGGTGACTGGATTGTTCTGTCAGAGTTCACCCAGACACCTCATCGAGACAACCTTTATGCATCAAAACCTTCTACTTGGCACATAGCAATGATTCGATTACGATACTGAAGAGGATGCTTCCAAGGCATAGATGCTCGCCGCCGTCTCCTTCACTACAGGTTTCAACATTTCTTGACTTTGCCTGTCAGAAGAAAGCAAATACCACGATAACGTCATCCTAATGGGTATTGTCATAAATCCCTTGTGGACGGTTGTTTGGAAATTTTCATCCGAGACCTATCCCATACAGAGAACGAATCGACCAGAGTCAACGGATGGAGCGACACGATAACCCTCCTAGGGAGGCTTTAGATATCGCGGCTCATACACCGCGACGCAGTTTGAGGTTCTCGTCTCAGGCCTCAACTCTGACTGCGCCTCATCGCAAGCCTGGTTCAACAACACAACGACATCACCCCGTCTATTCTAGCCCACATCGTCTCGTATTAGAGCAGATAGCATTGCGATATGTGAAGATGGCTGACACATAGAGTGACAGATCATTGGCCACTGAGTTATCAAGGCAAGTCTTTGCGGTGTGGAGTAAAGCAGCCCTTATGAGCTGCGAGAATGTGGTGTTGCCCCATGTATTGTCTAGGTCAGCAGAAGTTTCCTTGTCAAGATAGTGAGTGCCATCTCGGAGAATTCACTCTATCCATTCCCGTGGCTTGGCGCAGAGGATCTCGTCTGTCAAGACCTGGGCTGTGCGGCAATACGAGGTCAGGGGCCCGTTTCTCTCGATTTTGAGCTATAGTCGCTGTTTCAGATTTGCAGCGACGTAAGAACCTTAACAGGTATGTCTAATAATAGGCGTTCTAAACGAACACCGCCTCTTGACAGATGAGGAACTGACATGTACAGCAGAGCTGAACCCATACAAGCCGGGCATGTCAACGTACATATGAGAGAGCATTTGCTCCCGGTTAGAAGTGGAGCGCGGGGCTGGATCCAGCAGTTGACCCGAATCCTTTTCTAACTCAAAGTCCCAGATAGAGGCGATGATTACTTTCCCGCCTTCAACCATGTCCAGCAGCTGCACTCCGGATTGGCGCCCTTTCGTCCCTCGCCCTCCGAAGCTGCATCTTTTACCCAGTTGTTTCTCCAGCCCCAGACGGCCCCATCTATCTGAAACAAGCATTTGCTGGCCAACTGCTGGCTTGCCTTGCATTCTTTCGAACAGCCGAGGTGGTGACGGCGGGTGAAGGGCGCCGTTACCTGGAGTATAATGGAGCCTGGTCATGAGAAGGAGGGAATACTTTCCTTGAAAGAGAACGTCTCAAAGCCGTTTACTCATGCTAATGACTTCTTCTACAATCAGGCCTTTTCCTTGATCCGTACATACGCTCTCTCGTCACTCGACATGAAGCTCCCGGCCTCTGAGCCTCCACATCCTTCTTCATAATCGACTGATTCAGCAGCGAAGAAGACCCCTGTTCTTGCTCTCTGTCGGAGCCATGCCCAACCAACACCTTGTCGTTCCGTATCTGCAAGCTACAGCAGCTTAACCACGCTTCACACGAATGTGGCAAAGCTCTCTCGGCCCGACTGCCTGATGTTCCTTTGATGCCGGAATCTCAGTGGCGGAACCAGTATCAACCGAATGACAAGCAAAATTGAAACCCCGGCTCTTAATATCTCATCCATCTCCACACCAAGGCATCTATCCGATGGCCAGAGACCGTGGCCGTCTCGTTTCGGCTCTCCAAGTCCTCGGTGGGTAATAGGATGACGAGGTGTCTTACTCGTTCAGGAGGTGCTACTGGTTGAAAAGCCGTTTGCTCAATGACTTGGGGCATCATCGGGTGGTTGACGGCAGTATGACACTCCCGAGTTACCCGGCGGCGATTTTTCCGTTCGAGCAGACCTTGAGTGACCTGGCACGAGACAAGCAGCTCTACTCTAAAATGCTCCTCTTGCAAAATCTTCCGGATGGGCATAGAAGATGGGGTAGCTACGGCTCCCGACAGACCGCCTGGTGACTGATGCTACAGAGGTCAAACAGCATATATGACTTCGCTTCAGCAGACAAGGTCCCCAAAGCATTTGGCAAACCATTCTTTCTGCCCTTTGCCCAGCCGAAGTGCTATTGTGAAAAGCCTCTCATCTTTCACCAAGTGTCTTGTCATTCATACTGCCGTTAGACACGACATGGGCCACAAACCATCTCGCCATCCCCCGGCATCTTCTTGAATACTCCCCGGTCGACCTGGCAGAGTGTCCTCCGCTGGAACGCCAAGGTACGTAAGAAGCTTTTTAAAGATTGTTCGCCGAGAAAGGTTCGATATCACCTGCGATGGAACAATGATTACTCACGAATGAACACACGTTGACAGCTACGAAGAACGCGCATTACGATAAGCCAGACGTCTCACGATGAGGATGCCAAGCAGCGAGGATTCGAATCGAGATACATGCCGAAGATGGGAGTGGAGAAATCATGCATCATGGTGAATACCTAGCTCAAGGAAACACACATTGAAGGTTGGAGTGCGGACTATAACAATCGCCAAACGCATGGGGGCGGCAGTTGCTGTTTTACATAGCTCCGTCTACTTTATGTGCAGGGGGTTGCTTGAAGACGTCGGCACATGGAAGGAACTGCTCGCAACACAGCACCTTGAGGGCGGCCAATGTGCCCATAGATAGAGGACAAGAATGATAGAGAAAGTGCAGAGACGGGTTCATCACTATCAAGTGTCGGTTGATGAGGATTGGCGGCTATTCCTCGATTAGATAAGGAAGGGCGTGGTGCTTGAGCTTTGAAGAAGTCGCAGCCGGTGGGCGTCGGTCCCAATGCCATTTTCCTCGCGAAAGAAACCTCGTCCTTACATTCTTCTCATCAACTACCTTCTCCTAGATGTCCAAGACTGTCTTCTCTTCTATCCAACTGTCATCCCGCGATCGCCTCGCAAGGGCGGAGCTACACTTGGCGACGACAGCAGAGGTTTTTACAGCTCATTTCTCACACCGGGCCAGCTCTCCCATCACTCTTGAGCCTCGATCGTTTCTTGGGATCATCAGACGACGCCAAATGCTTTGCATACTTGGGTCGTAACTTACGCCCATCTGGTCTCAGTTCCTCCTGGGTTGGCATCTGTCTCATCGCAGACTCGACATCATGTTTGGCAGCAAGTGAGTGTCCATCCGGCCGCAACCGAGGCTCCAGAGGCGCATCTAACGCTCTCGTACATCCGCGCATACCCATTCTCTCCGTCGTCTCCACCTGCTGACAGAGTGTTGTTGTCAGGTCTATCAAGATCAAAGGCGCCGACTGCGGCGTCGATGCCCTCTTTCTTGCCATCATCACCTGCATCGGCGGTTTCCTCTTCGGCTACGATATCGGCCAGATCTCGGGCATTCTCTTGTACAATGACTTCATCTACCGGTTTCTCTGGGGTAGTACTGCCACGGTCAAATCCCTTCTTGTCTCTTTCATGGGCGTTGGCTGCCTTTTTGGCTCTTTGATCGGCGCGTAGTGAGCAGCTCCATCTCTCCCTCTGTGTGTGTGTTTCTCTGCCTAGAAGCCTAACAGAATCGTTGAATAGTACAACCGACTTCCTCGGACGAAGAAAGAGTATCGCATTAGCGGTGGCCCTATACATCACGGGAGACATTGTCCAAGTTACGGCAAAGGAGAGCTGGATTCATATTACCATCGGGAGATTTGTTTCTGGTCTCGGCATGGGCAATCTTTCCGTCGGCGTCCCGATGTTCCAGTCTGAATGTGCTCCACGGCAGATTCGGGGCGCCGTCGTTGCTTCTTACCAGCTCTTGATCACGATTGGAATACTCTTCGGCAACGTTGTCTGCTACCTCATGCGGCCTCTTGAAAACGACAGCTATTCGTGGCGCATCATCATCGGCTTGGGCGCCGTCTTCTCCTTGCCGCTTGGACTTGGCATCCTTTTCGTTCCCGAATCCCCGAGATGGCTCGCTGGCAGGGACAAGTAGGACGAGGCCCGCCGCTCGCTGTCGCGACTTCGCGGCAAGAGCCACGATCAAGGCAATGTCATTGTCGAGAACGACATGCACGAAATGAAGGAAGTTTTGGCCCTGGAGCAACAGAGCGGCAGAGCTTCCTGGGCTGAATGCTTCTCTGGCAAGGCCAAGGTCCCCAAGACACGGTATCGTACCTTTCTGGGGATGGGCATCCATTTCTTGCAGCAATGGACAGGAATCAACTACTTCTTCTATTATGGCGCCACCGTCTTTGCATCAGCCAAGATCAAAGATCCTCTCATGACGCAGCTTATCCTCGGCGCCATCAATGTTGCCACGTCATTCTCGGGGGTCTACTTTGTCGATAGGCTGGGTCGTCGATGGCCTCTTATTCTCGGCGCTCTGTGGCAAAGTGTGTGGTTGCTGATTTTTGCCTCCATTGGCGCGGTGAGCCGTCGGGACGAATCGTCGCCCGCCTTTGGCATTGCCATGATTGTAGCGGCATGCATGTTCATTGCTTCGTTTGCGGCCACCTGGGGTCCCATTGCCTGGGTTGTCATGGGCGAGACGTTTGCTCTTCGGACGCGTGCCAAACAGGCCTCATTAGTCACGGCAGCCAACTGGACGGGCAACTGTAAGATGCGCCACACTGCGGTATACGGCGACCATGAAGACAGATGTGACTAACAAGTTGTTGCAGTTTTGATTGGATTACTCACTCCCCACGCCGATCATGCCATATCATACTCGTTTGGCTTCATCCTAGCCGGCATGAATCTCATCGCCGCCGCTGTTGTTTGGCTGTTTCTATACGAATCCTCTTTGCTCAGTCTGGAAAACGTGGACATCATGTACAGCATCCAGGATCTTTCGCCGTGGAAGAGTGCCCAATGGGTGCCACCAGGGTACCTCACACGTCTGACTCGAGACGAACAACATTTCCGCGGCGTGAATATTCCGGCTACAGATAAATCTGGACTCACACAGGAGATGGTGGAGATGGCGGGTAAAGATGGCGACGTGAAGCCTGACGTGAAGTCTGACGGGAAGAATGTCTAATGGCCGATGATAGGAGATGGAAACCAAGGAGATCAAGGAAACCAAGGAGGGCCATGTGTTGAGACCCCGTGTTCCCACTTACACCTGTTTGCTAGGTAGCTTTACCAGTAGTCATTACACAGTCATGCTTAAAAAGTAGACATTTGATACACCCTATCCAATCATCTCATACAAGCTCATTAATACTATGATTCCGTAAATACAAACAAGAGTGGATATCGTCATCGCTGTATGCCTCCGTCTGTATGCCAAGAGTGAGGTTACCCGCTATCTATTACAATAATGCTCATAAGACCATGATTCTATACTTTCATTCCCCCTTTCCACCTTTTTCGACAACTATTCAAGGAGACTCCTCCTTCACCTTCTCTGTAGAAGCAGATGCTTCTGTGCGCTCGCGAGCTTCTCCCTGTTTATGCTCAGGGTGCTTCTCATTCGTATTTCTCTCCCCGCTCTCATCCCCGGCAACGGTACTCGAGCTCGAGGAATCGTCAGACTCCGTCTCCTCCGAGCCGCCCTCATTCGGATCCTCCAGCACGACGGGCGTCGGCCCGGTCTCGACGTCCTCCTTCTCGGCCGGCTTGCGGCCCTTTGGGTTGAAGCGGCTGCGGGCGCGGATGGCGGCGCCGTACTTGTAGAACATGAAGGGGATGATGGCGAGGACGGTGGCGACGCCGCCGACGAGGGAGCCGCCGCCGCCGACGCCGAGGGCGTGAAACATCTGGAGGGTGAAGAGCGGGGCGGCGCCGCAGGCGGAGCGCATGATTGTGTTTGCGGCGATGGCGGAGGCGGCGTACATGAGGTAAGCGTCGACGAGGTAGTTGAGGAAGCCGACGAAGAGGAGGAGGAGGGCGGTGGAGAGGAAGGCTCCTGCGATGGTGGGGACGATCCAGTGAACGGAGCTGTGAAGGGGGTGGGATTTGTCAGTATGCTTGAGCTTTTTTGATGAAGAGTAAGGGGGTGATATTGAGATGGGAAAGAGGGTGAGTGAGAGAAGAAACGTACTTGTAGTTGGCTGACCATGCGAACCAGAACATGGCGCCTGCAAAGGTGATGCCGCCGAGGATGGCGAGGGGGAGACGGTCCTCGGGAGTCATTTCGTGGAGCTGCTTCTTTCCCGTGTCGACCTTCTTTTGCTGGCGGCGGGTATCGAAGGCGACGATGAGGCCGCCGAGCATGGCTCCCAAGACGGTGCCGATCAGGGGCAGCTCGCCAACGCCAGAGTTCCAGCCGCGCTTCTCTTGGAAGACGATGGGGTAGATGGTGAAGAGCATGTAGAGCAGGGTGTAGACGACGGAGAGGTAGATGGCGATGAGGAACGAGATGGGGTCGAAGAGGATGATCCAGGGCCGGGTGAGGGCGACCTTGTACACGCTCGCGAGGTTCTGGTGGCTGTCCTCGATCTGGGCCTTTACGTTCTCGTAGCCGGGGATCTTGGCCTTGCGGAGGCGCTTGGCCTTGTGGCGCAGGACGGTCGGGGCGTGAGTCTCCGGGATGGTGAGCATGAAGAGGAAGGAGCCGCCGCCGAGCATGAGGAGGACGTAAAAGGTCCAGTGCCAGTCCTTCTTGAGCTGCAGGAAGCCGGCGATGATGGGGCCGAGGGAGGGGCCAATCCAGAGCATGGCGGCGAAGCCGCCCATGGCGTTTGCGCGCTGGATGGGATTCCACAGGTCGGCAAGGACGCCGGGGCCGTTGCTGAGAGGCGCGGAAACGAAGGTTCCCGAGAGGAATCGGCCGACGAGGAGACTGCCGAAGTTGGGGGCAAAGGCGCAGAGGAAGTTGAAGGCCAGGTAGAGGGTGAACGTGGAGTAGAAGATCCATCGGCGTCCGTATAGCTCGCTCAGGGGAGCGAAGATGAGAGGGCCTGCACAGTATCCAAGCAGGAAGAGGGTAATGGTGAGGCCGGCAGCCTCTTCCGAGACGTGAAAGGACTCTGCAATGGACGGGAAGCAGCCGCTGGGGGCGCTGGACGCGAACGTGGCGTTCATGACGAGGAAGACGGTCGCGACCGTGATGAAAAAGCGGCGGGTCATGGACCATTCTCGGGGGTTCTCGACGTCGCCAGGAGCAAAGTCGAGGTAGCCATGTTCGTTGAGGTAGGGGGGCTCATTGTGTTGAAGGTCCTTTGTGCGATACGGCTTGTTGACCGGACGCGAGAGGATGCGGGTGAGGGCACCCATGGTGAAGGGGGGCTGGCGGTAGCGGTTGAGGCTCTTGCTTTCGGATTTGCGCTTCCTTGAGAAATTGATTTGTGGTTTGATGAGGATAGATTATTCTTTTTGAAGTTTGGTATTAGGTTATCGAGATAATCTGGACTGACGTATCATGTCGCCGTCAACGGTGTGCTCGTGGGATGAATAGAAGCACAACGAGAGTCTTCTTCCAATTCCTTTCCACAGATTTCCTTTTCACAAGTTCCTGGAGCTCGATATGTCCAGTCCGTACGCGCTGTGCATCACCGCTCGTTCCAGAACTTCGTCAAGAGGGGAAGAGATGATGTCCAGTTTACCACGACGGGGGAAAGCCACGAGGACACGGGTATCTGACGAGCGCCACAGCCGTATTTAATAATGAAGAATGACCGAAAATTAATCATTCACATTGTTGGCTTGCTCCGTCCTCGCGCGTCGGGTTTAAAGGAGCCAGAACCCCGGCCGCGGCCTAAGGAGATACTACTAGTAGTAGCCGTAGTCTGCAAGTCGTATTACTGGACAGTTCGGATATAAACACACAGCGGGCGGCGGCACTGGGTCACCGGGGGCTCCATCTCACTCTTTTCTTCTTCTTTTTTTTTTTTTCTTTTCTCCTCGCCTTTGTTTGATGGATCCGATCGCTTGAATTATGGGACGCGGAACGAAGGCTGGATAGATGGCGTAAACGTTGCGGTTGTCTTTCCTCTTTCAGATGAATAATGACTAGGGGTCAAAAGCCCGGAGGAGGCATGTTGCAAGTAGTCTGTACTGTTCAGTCAGACTGTGGCACTGCTTGGTTGCTGGCTTCAAGGTTGGTAATCGAGTTCGAGGAGCGGTCATTTCGTCCCATCTGCAATCTCACATCCCAGCTGAATACGCAAGGCCGTCGTCAAATGTAACGCCTTATCGCGCAGGGAGCAGATTTGGTTACCAGCCCTCACATGTCGCCACATGGACGATGTCACACTGTAACACCCACCACCCACCCACAGGGGGTCCAGCAGGCCGAAGAGCCGGAACTGGGCTGCCGTCAAGGTGCATGCTGGGACTGGTTGACTGAGAGTGGCTGCTCTGTGCGCAGCCTGATTGATACGTAGTCAGAGGCCCCATGTTGCTCCGTTCGGGATATGGTGGGACCTTGACGCTTGGTTGATTCATTATTCATTCAATCATTCATTGTCTGTGCCCAACCGCTTCGCGGCTCCGAGCTGAGGTCGGACTTGGGAATAGTAGTCGTACTCGTACGCGCCTCTGCTGTGGGAGTGTTGCTTTGCTCCGTGTTGGTCGCTGACCTGAGATCCTCCTCGCCTCAAATCTGCGAGCCGAGGGGATAATGTCCAGCGAGGGTTGACGAGATCCGGACGAGATCGCCCTAGGCGCTCGGCACGAGTCCCCTGCAAGCACGGCATATACGTACATGTACTTGTTGGCAGCGGTCTCGCGTCTTTCGCCTCTCTTCTCTCCTCTTCCTCGCCTCGCGTTCTCCTCACTTCGTCCGTTTTGCTTCGTCCGTCATGGATTGCGTTATCGAAGCAAATCTTGGGTCTCCAGTAGTGTAATTCCGCGCTCCACCCCCCCCCTCTGCTTTGCTAGTACGTACAGTATAGCGGCGCTCCCAATCGCTTCTCCAATTCTCCAACTGGTCCATATTATTAGCGATTCGCTGTTTTCCAAGTCGTTCAAGTTTGCCAAGTCATCGTTCGCATGAGAATGTCCTCCCACATGTTCCGATTACTCAGCTTCGCATCGCTGATTTCAAATGCGCCCGCCGATTAGCCCGTATTCCCCGGATCGTGGTGTTTCTCGCTGTCCGAAGGCGGCACACGATGGCAGCGACTGAAGGCGGCGCAGCAGTCAGACGGGCGGCGACGAGGGATTCGGTTCATGAATAGACGCCGCGCCGAGCGGCGCACCAGACGGTTCTTTCATTTTGGCTCGTAATACGTTTATCGTTGGCTCGGTCTATTGATCAAGATGCAAGCCGTGGCTGTGGGTGATGCGTGGGTGGCGCCTTTGTTTCGCTGCCACCAGCCTGCTTGGGGTTAAGGCGACTGAGGTGGTGCCCCGGCCGGGCAGTTGTTCCGGCAGGCGTGTGACCAGGATGGAAACTGCTGTGATGATTTGTCTGCAATCCTCGTTTGCACTAGAAAACAACGACTGACGATTTCTTCGGACATACGAGACGAGAAGTCCAGATGAAGCTATATAGCCATCACCAAGAGCTTTGCGATTGATCATATTACGTACGTCATGCAGTAGAGACAGGGATCCAGACAAATCCAGAAGACGAAATATAGAAGTCCAGCGATTTCTTGCGTCATCTTCAAGAAGCATCAAGAGCTGCCAACAAGTCGACGCCGGCAAAGGTGCCTTGACACACAGTCCGCTCTTCTTCAGGGAATCAAGCCGCGGGTTGTCCAAGGTGCTGCTTTGCATATCTGGATCTTGCGCCTTCTCTATCATATGGTGCCTTCGCCCTCAACCCCCAGGCTTTAACCACAGTCCGTGTCTTGATATCCAGATCCGCGTATTGATTTTTCGAGTCAGGTGCCGTTGGTGACAGCTCTGCTAGTGACGGAGTTTGGCGCGCGCCCTTCTAGATTCATTTACCCACCTCTGCCACCAACGTCTCTTTTCCTTAGCCATCGAAGAAAGGGACCAAAAAAAAGGGAAAAAGACTTTTCACCCGTGGTGCAAATTGGGCTAATTAGGCCACTGACGTGAATGACATTTCTCCAGAAAGAGGTCGTAGGGGTATCATCACCGATCTGGAGATGTGACCTGACGAAAGTCTCGCCTCATCTTGCAATGCGAAACCTTTATAAAGATGACAAATAAGAAAGAGATTCTGTTGATTGCGGATTTAGATAGCGAGCGGCACCCTCACACTTTACTTGGCATCTTTTGTTGTACGCGATATACTTCCATAAGTTAGAGGTTTGCACAGAACATTTCCGGCCTTCTACCTATCATACCTCACAGCCTCGCAGTACATCCGTTAATAGCTGTTGCACTCCGTGGAATAACTTCGTAGAAGCAGCAGATAGACCCTCCCGAGATACAACTCGTCGTGATAAAAGAGTGATCCAGTATTGCAACTGCCGTAATAGAGTTCCGATTTTAACACGGCTATGTAGTCTTCCGGCTGTTACCTAGGTAGGTGTGAAAGGCGAACCTTGTATCACATTAACTTGTGATCATACAGCTATGCGGCAATGCAGCTGCCGTCGGAGTTGCAAGCCCAGACTAAATGTACGAGTACGACTACGCAGTGTGATAAACGCAGCCTGATAAGCGCAGCCTTGCTTGTACGGCCACAGTACTCCGAGCCGCTATTACAGGGTTCCCATGTAGAATCTCGAGGCTGCGTGGTATCGCAGCTGCAGAAATAGATGATAATATTCCGCTGCTAAATATAGGGCGCCTATGGATAAATGTTCTGGAAGACCTGACTTTAAATATTGCTGGACCCTGTTGCTCTTGACTGAGGCTTTATGGCTTCTGCTCTGGGCGGACTTGGTACACAGCCTCTGCTGTCAGCAACCTACTCCTTGAACCAAAAGGGCTGGGTAGAGCCTCTTTGCCATCTATCATTCTTCAACCTTCAAGTACATATGAATTCGGCCGATGCACTCTAGAGTACCTGCCTGATTAATGTATGTAGCAAACGTGATAGGCTGCGGTGCTGCATTCGATCTTATATTTCATATACATAAAGGGTCGCTTAACCACCTCTCCGAGTGCTGCTAATCTAAACCCTTGATTAATTGCTTCTGGAACAAAACGCAACAACCCCTAGGTAGTAGCTTCCCTCTAAATTTTCCCAGAACGCCGATTGGCCGCTTTAACAGCTTGATTGGCCGCCGCCTCTATTGACGACGACGATGACGCATTGAGAGGTTGGCATGCAGAATTAACGCTTCCGATGATTCCAGGCTGTTGCTCTCGATTCGAGCTCTGAGTTCGCATAAAAATTACTTGAACCCTATCAAACAACATAGATCTGTAGCAACACGAAAAGTTCCATTGAGTTGTCTCTGCCTCCGCAATTTGGCTTCCGCCTCCTCCACTGACATTGGATTGCTTACCACATCAAAGCCGTAAGCAACCGCGCAAAGGGCGAAAGGAAACCTATAAAAACAATAGTATGCATAACAAAGCAGTTGGGGCTGATGTATGACTGGGGCAGGTTTCTGCTACTTACATATTTTACATATCTTAGAAGCAACACCAGAAAAGAACTGCCGTCAGACCAATTAAAGCAATGCTATTTGGAATCGTTTGACTCCCGGAAAGGCAACCCACCTACCCATGAAGTTGCATTAAACACCGAACCCTGCTCGAATAGGTTTCTTGGTGTTACTATATTCTCCTCATGCTCTCTCTGCTAAGGTTATAATAACGTCAGCCTTTCTCGTGAGCAGAAGCCATCAATGTGCGCCAGTAAGCGCTTAAATCTGTTACAAGTGAAGAAATGCGCATAGCGCGACCCTTTTCTCCCTGTCGTTCAACTTCTCCTCGGAAAAGCTTAAAATTAGTCTGTCGAAAGGCGCACGCTTTTTGTCTCTAACCGATAGAAGCGACAGCATTCAGAAACTCAAATACATGTACGTGGTCAAAACGTTGCTTGTCATCAGAAGGCGTCAGCGAGCAATCGTCATGGTATAAATACCACAGTCGGGTTGCGAGGTCATGATTATCGAATTGCTCGTATAAGCTCACTTATTGAGACCAAACTCACTGATACGAATCACACAATGGCAGAGAAACCGCTTCACATCGATCTCATCGATACCCTCAAGGACGTCTCTGTCCGAGTTGACCATGTCAGACCATGTAAGTTGGCTCATATAGCAAAGGCAGGACACGATGCTAACAAGATTTCTTCCTTGCTTTAGCCCATGCCAGAGGCGTCTTCGTCATAGGTTCCTTTACCCCTACCAAGGAAGCCAAGCAACTCTCCAAGGCGCCCCATTTCAACTCTCCGTCGACCCCGGTCGTGGCCAGATTCTCTCTCTTCACCGGTATCCCTGACCTACCTTCGAACGACCCACAGGCAAATCCCCACGGCCTGGCTGTGAGATTCCTGATTGGAGATGGCGTGAAAAGCGACATCATCTGCCAATCTACACCCCTCTTCCCAGCAAACACAGGAGAGGGAGTCCTTGCCATCTTCAAAGCTTTGAGAGACGACAGAATAGAGGAGTACCTCAGCACTCATCCCGAAGGCATTCCTTTTTTCACAGAAGATAGAAAGACGCTAAAGCACTGGGGCACCCAGTCATTCTACTCCATCAACGCCTTCAAGTTCATAAACGATGAGGGCAAGAGCGTGCTTATCCGCTACCGTTGGATCCCGATGGCGGGGAGACACTTTCTGACGGACAAAGAGCTTGAGGCCAAGGGGCCAAACTTCCTTTTCGATGATCTACCCGGCGTTTTTGCTCAGGGACCGATAATCTTCAAGCTTGTAGCTCAGGTGGCGGAGGAGGGCGACATCACCGGTGACTGCCTCCAGAGATGGCCCGAGAACCGCAAGCTTGTGGAGCTCGGGGAGCTCAAGCTAACCAAGGTTGCGGAGAAGGCGGATCTGCCACCTCAGAAGGAGACTATTATGTATAATGTCATTCCTGGGGTGCAAGGCATCGAGCCTTCGGATGATCCTATCATCGCGACTCGTGGGAAGGTGTATGCGACAAGTGGGCAGACTCGCCGGGGAGCTGAAATTGAAGCCGAAGCTTAGCCATTTGATTTCGGGATGGGATTCCAACTCACTCCGAAGAAAAGGGGTTTCTTACTGAGATAGCACACTTAGGTAGTGAAGGGATTGCGGAGCGGAGACGCGTGATATATCCTATTGATTTTCATAAAGAAACACAGGACCAGAGATTCGATAATCAAAGTGGTTATTCAATTGCAATATCTTCTGGACATAAGTCGTAGCTGCGTGTACTGCATCTTCAAATCTCATAGTCCAAATCCAGTTTGTTCACATCCGTTGTATGAGTATTTCATAGTTGAAATGTGCCTTTTATCGTTCGGTTTCGTGGATATGCCTTGTAGTGGCTGGCTTTGATGTGCCTCTATTATGGATTAGTTCGAAATAGAGCAGAAGAGAAGAGGAAGAGAAAGAGAGGCAAAAAGAAAATGTCTGGGCACTTTTGTGACTCTCCCGAATTGTTATATGTAAACGCAGCACTGGCAACCTAGTCAATAAAGGGGTTGATGGGGCGGACACGGAGACATTTATAAGCTTGTGTACCCGTGAGCGCCACCATCCGCCACTTCTGCTCCCACCCGGCTCTGACGTGACTTTTATGAGACAAAACAGATGTCGAAAGAACTGTGACAACCAGCATATAGATAGTACGGTCAATGTCAGCTTGGAGATGAGTTCTCCTCATCTGATAACGATAATGAATACATCACTACTTCTGTTGGTGTGCTTGTTCGATCACCCTTGAATTCTAGGTAGACAGTTATACTGCACTAGACAAAAGCGTGAGTAGATTTCTATTTAGTACAAGGCAATACGTAGTTGCCGAATAGACAAATCAAAGATGCTGCCACTCTCAGCTGTAAGCTGGAGCAAGGGTGACAACTCAGAGTTCCCATTTGCCGCATCCGTGAAACGGGAATAGCAGTAGGCTTTCATCACAGTTATCATAACATTAAAATAGGGAAGAGTATAGACTTGCAGGATGTGTGCTTGGTTTGCCGGTTTGTCGGTCGGTCGGTCGGTCATTTCTCGATTCGTTGATGTGGACTGTGTCGGCAAACAGTTTGTCGTGTGGCGACGGTGAGGGGGAGGGATTACTTGTTAAGAGAAGAAGTTAGCACAAGTGTTCGAAATGAAACTGAAGCATCTGTAAAAAGTCAGCATAGGTTCAGAAAGACAAGACAAGTAAAGCTTTTAGAAGAAGAGTTAACAATCGGCTTTCACGAATGACAGGGTCGACTCAGCTAATAGTTCGATAGTCGGCGGGTGGGCGGGTAGTCTATAGAAGAGCGGTAAGTTAGCATAGTGCCTTCGAATGAAGCAGATGGGGGAGACTTAGCGGAATATAGGCTGGCGAAACCTTAGCCGGGTGGGAGAGGGGCGACCTGGAGAAAAGTAGAAGTTAGCATAGATTCTGAACGAACGATGAAAAGTGTCTATATCCTGTCAGCATGTTGTATATCAAAGTCGAAGACGGGATGACTTAGCGGAAAGTGATATGGCCATAGGACGGCTAGAGGGGGAGCGATCTGGCAGAAGTAAGAGAAGTTAGCATCTATTTTGCAAGGCGGAAAATGAACATCTATGGAGGGCTAGCATTTTATGTCTTTGCAACGAGGAGGGACTTGGTAGACTTAGCAGATATCATATGATGAAAGGGGTATGGCGGGTAGGGAGCGGAGGAGGATGTCCTGGAAGATATGCAGGTGTTGGCATATATTTTAACAGAGAAGTTGTCTGTCTGTGATCAGTCAGCACATTGTCTTGCGTTAAGGGAAAAATGGTCCTTGACAGGGCGTCTACCGCTTTGTTACGTGGACCCTTAATGTACTTGATGGTCACGTTCAGCAGTCGCAGCTCTGAGACCTAACGCGAGTACACACCCTCGTGGGTTGATGAGTCCAGAAACCAGGTCAGGGGCTTGTGGTCGGTGTAGATGACCGATTCGTCCGGGGCTCTGAAGTAGTGACCATGTCTCCGAGAGAATTCCATGATGCAATATAATTCTCGCTTGTAGGTGCTATAGTTGCGTTGTGTCTTCGTGAAGAGAAGTGAATTATGGCCCTTCCCACGCGTTGATGAATTTGGAAGGGCCCCTCCCATCTGGGCTTGAATTTTGGGGGCTTTCCCTCCTGCACCACCATCACCCACTCGCCAGGCTGATATGGGTCAAAGTTGCGCTGCTCGTGTCGGCCTCTCCGGGCCTGGGACAGATGCCACGCGTGTTCCGCCACTGCTCTTGTACAGGCACAGCTGATCCCCGTGCGTTCTTGCGCTTTTTCGAGGCGGGCTCTAGTCCTCCAGCGAGCATTATAATCCCCATTATTTTATCTTCTGTGGTCAGTCCTTCTAGGTTTTCCTGTCCTATCAGAGTTTCAATTTTCTTCAGCAGCTGCTTCGCGACCCTCTTTCTTCCTGGTGCCTCTATCACCCTTTCAGCTGCCGCTGAACCAGATGTAGCGTACCTCAGGCCTGTCTCCAAGTCATGAATTTCCTCCACCACGTCAGGGTATGCTCCCAGAGTGATCTGACGGCAGCGGCTGACTGAGCTGAACGGTGTGGCGGAGGAAAAGGGGATAGAGGAACCTGTGTAAACGAGAAGGATCAGCAAGAGCACATCAAAAAGCAAATACATGACTGTGGAGAGTAAGCATGCAATCTCTAATTAGTTGTAAGACCGGGGTGACTTAGCTGGAAGCAAGATAGAGCAGATGGGACGACGAGATCTGGATGGTGGAGAGTGGGCGGCGGAGAGGGGGCACGGGAGAGAGGAGGCCTGTTAAAGAAAGAAAAGTTAGCATAGGGTTGTCAAAGACTATAGTTGCATCTATAGATTGTTAGTAGTGTGTTATAGACAACCAGAGAAGTATGACTTAGCTGGTTACAATACGGCCGAAGCGAGACTGTGCCTATCCAGTGTAAGTAAGAGATCGGTAAGTTGTATAGATAGGGAGACTTAGCCTTGTCTAAATAGCCGCGAAGGGTGGAAGGAGGTGGGGAGGAACACCTGTGGAGAGAAAACTGTTACCATGGGTTGAAGAAAAGGAAAGGCATCTTATAAAGAGTCAGCATGATGTCTGAGGTAAGGAGGGGACATTTGACTTATCTGATTATACACTACTAAAACGGGAAGGGACCTATTACAAGTTAGCAACTATTTCTGAGGTCATCTCAGTGGGAAGACTTAGTTTTGGAATACTACCCCGAAAGGCTGGATGGGGGCCGGATGGAAGCCTGTAAAAAGAGAAGTGTCAGCATGGGTTTAGGAGAATAACAGGGACGCCAGTAGAAAGGCAGCAAGATGTCTTAGCAAATTATTGTACAGCCGGGACGAGAAAGAGCATATCGAAAATTAGCTACAGTTTTTCAAATGATATGGACGGGAAGACTTAGTCTTGTAGAAGAGATTGGAGGCGTCGTGACGAGGGAAGAAAAGGGAACGCATAAAAGAGAACAAGTTAGCATAAGGCTTCTAAAAGTGAACCTATGAGAAGTCAGCAGAGAGTATTTGAAGCATAGTAGGGTTGACTTAGCTGATTCTGTATAGTCAGAAGAGGAGGAGAGCCTACCCGAAGTTAGGAAGTGCTTGTGAATTTCTAGAAGTAGGGAGACTTAGTCTGGTCAAGGTAGACGGAGTAGGTGGTAGGATGTCGAGTAGGAGGAGATGAGATGTCGAGTACGAGGATAAATACGGGATCGGAAGTCGAGTACGGGGTAGGAGATCGATGGAGCGGGAAGGACGAGGCGGAGGAGGGAATATATTGAATGGAAAGCCGTTAGCATGAATTCAAATAATAGAGAGGCCTATGAGAAGTCAGCAAATTGTTCTCAAGCAGACAAAGGTTCGACTTGACTGAGTGTATCTCGTTGGACGGAGCCGATGTGAAATCAGTAGATACTCGTTGAGCTCTTGGAGCGGGAAAACTTAGTTTTATACAGAGACTCCGGGATGAACAGATAGATAGACGGCGATAGCGGAGGAGATGGCGGAGGAGGGGGAGGAGGAGACCTGTTAAGAAAACATACAAGTCAGCGTGCACTCCTTGGTCGAATTCCCGGTAACTCGTCAGCAGATTTTCTTCAAAAGGCAACAACGGAATAGGAGGACTTAGCTGGAACTAGTAATTCCGGGACGAAGACGGCTATATTTGAAGTTAGTAATAGTTCATGAAGGTAGATTGGCAGGGAGACTTAGTTCTGTAGAAGGAAGTAGGAGAAGAAGGTTGGTGAGATCGGCGGAGCGGACGGAATGGGAGATCTGCTTGAGCTACACAAGTTAGCATGATTCTTAAGACAGAGACATTTGTAAGGAGCCAGCATGTGTTTTCAAATTGTGAGTGAGAGGGACTTAGCAAAGATAGTAAATCCGGGATCACACAGAATCTGTGCAAAGTCAGTAAAGGCTCGTTGAGTGTTCTGGGTATGGAGCCTCAGATCTGTAGCAATAGAACAGCGATGGTCTTTGTAGTTAATCTACTATTCGTGAATAATACACAGTCGAAGATAGAGAAGAGTAGGAGATGCAGCAAGATAGGAGAAGAAGGTAGGAAACTTAACAGAATTGCATGAGCCGGGTAAACTGATCCTTTGGCTATAGAGAATATCAGACACCGTCTCTATTTGAGTGAAGCCTTGGCTGAAATGTCATTGCTGCCAGAAATAGTTAGCAAGCACAAATGAACAGTGGCATGGCAAACAGGTATCTACCTGGTCTGGACAGAATGAATTCAGCCGCTGTCTGCGTCGGACTTGAGTAGTGAAAGCAAGCGAGCAGCAAATACATGCTTGCGGCTTTCTTCTGACGACAAACACCAAAGTTAGGTCCTGATCACAGAGCGATGGCAGCAGGGGACACTTAGCAGGAAGGACAGGAGCAGCAAGTGACAGCTTTGGCAACATGGCTGACAGCGAGAGACTGTGGAAGGTTATTATTCATCTAAATCAGAGGAGCAAGAGTACTTAGCCGTAGACGGGTAGACAGAGGAAAACAGAATGAAAGTGAAAGAGAGAAGACTGAAGAAGACCTGTGATGAGCGTTACTATCTATTAGCCCAAATATTAGGGGAAACTCGGTTGCCTTGCTTTATGATGTGTATAGTGTCAGGTCTTGATAAATTGAGAAAGGCTATTAGGTCTAGACTGACGATGAGACAGCATCGTGTGACGCTCCTCGAGCGATGACGGATGAGATGGCTGATGAGCGAGACTAGATATGGTGTTACAGAGCAAGAGGGCAAGAGAGCAGAGGACTTAGCAAAGACAATGAGCTTTTGGATATGCCACAAGAGGAGGAGAGGTTCGAATCTCGTTTGTTGAGGAACGGAGAAGGCGATGGTAGGAAGCCTAGAGCATCAACAGCATTATCTGACTCTTCAGAAGAGATCATATACCGGAGAGGATAAAGAGTAAGAGAGTCAAGAGGGAGACCCAGCTGCAGCAGAGCTTGAAGCTCACGCAGATGTGTGCGGAGAAGCTGAAGGACTGGAAGTGCGCTGTTTTTGTTTTGGGATGAGGGCGAGGAAACTTTCCGAGTGCGAGAAGGAAAAGATGTGGGAACTGGGAAAACGTGCTCAGTGATCTCATAGGCCAGCTGCCCCAGCCCATTGGCTTATCTTCAAGTCTAAATGTGAAGTGCTCGTCGAAGGACGAAGCTTCAAGACAGCAGTGGATAGAAGGGGGCTGCAAAGGGGCGAAAAGGGGGGCAAATCGCATGCACTCAACGCCTGAAGGAGAGATAGCAACGTACAATGAGGTCTACATCTTTTTCTGTGTGTTTCTCTCTCTATATATGCTGCTTAGATACTGTTCTATGATATATCTCGAGGAGGAGTCTGTCTCGAGGCGAGCGGGAGAAGTTGTTCCGCTTGCCGGCACCCCTGAGTGGCAGCACGCGAGCCATTGTTTACCCAGTCACTCTGCTCTCACCTTTTTCTCACTTTCTTTTGGCTTTCTGTTTCTCCTACCTTCTAAGGAATTCAGCTGCCTTTCTTCCACCCTCTACGCCAAGTTTCTCAGCCACATCTTCCTTTCCTCACATCCTCAGCACTCTCCTTCTGTACCTCGCATCACGCTCGACTTTATCTCAAACATCATCAAAGCAAACATTCTCGGGCATCCTAGTAGGTTATGCATCAAGTTATAGTCTCCAGGAGTCCTATTAACTTTATTTCCCAGCACTGCTCTTCGTCAACAAAGATTTCTCAAGAGACTCCTCTAAGACTGTTACCAACGTCGCATTCTCATCACAAGCTGCCTACATATCTGAACATTCTCGGCAAGGCTCCCCGTCTCTGAGACATCATTCTATCTGTCCAGCACATTTGTGTCTCGGTTCCGCAAAGATCAATCCTCTCCAAGGAAGCATTCAGTATCATCACCGGGTTCTTTTAATCTTGAGAACACGACTCCTATCACTTCAAAGATGTCTGATCATCAAGAGGAAAAGACCACCACTTTCATTCCGACTCTGAATCCCTATATTCAAGAGGAAGCAACCTCTGTCGTTGGGGAGATGGATAGTCGCCAAGATGACGAGATGTCAGTCGACTCTGTATCTTGTGAAGAAAAAGCTTCCACCATCGCCAGCGATTCTCTCATTCGCGAGATGGAGACTGGTACTGCTTCTGCTCAAGAAGAAGTAGTACCTTCCGATCGAATGTCTGTTGATCATCGCGAAGAGATTTCTACCAATGTCACAACTTCTTCCAGTTTCGACTTCGAGAGCTTATTTCGGGTTATTCAGTTTGTAGCTGAGTCAACTCCCGAAAATAACAACCGAATCATTGAGATTGAGTCCTTGGATGACGAGACTGCCTCCATGGAAGAGCTTCGCGATCGAGTGACCGAAGCTGAAGCTACTCAGGAAGGACAATCCAACGATCAAGAAGATGAAGACGACGATCAAGATAACGAAGACGAGCCTGAAGTCACAGTCGTTGAGGCTCTGCTTCTCTCTGAGCTTGAGATTTCGACCAGCAACAGACTTCAAATGCTCTCAATTATCGAGCATCTCGCGCAGTCTCTGGCCGACAGCAATCAACGCGCTCCCTTCCTCCGGGAGATTGAGCACAATGTTGACACCAGCAGCTTTGTCAAGCCGCGCAAGGGCAAGAAGGCATCCAACGCTGAGGGCGAAGATGACTCTCCCGAGAAGATCACTCCTCACACTGCATGTGCCCGTTGCCAGCATGTTCCCGCCGTCAACGAGCCAGCCTCGACTCTCCTCACCTGCGGTAACTGCAGAGTTGTCCAGTACTGCAGTACCATCTGCCAGCTCCGAGACTGGAAGGCTCACAGGAGCATCTACTGCGTGAACCCGATCAACATCCCGGTCGACGTCCTAGGAAAGCCTCACAAGGCACCCTTCCTGATGACGACCCTCCCCAATCCCTTCGCCCGCCTCTCCAAGGGCATCTGGCTGCACGACCGCCACAAGCAGGACGTGTACGTCCTCCTCATCGACTCCTTCCGGCTCCGAGAGTACGATGACTACACGTTTGGGGGCACGAGCAACGCCGACAGCGTCTACAGCGGTCGGCCGAGCTCGTTGCCTGCGTTCCGCCGCTTCGTCTACGCAGCGGAAGCCAAGGGCCTGATGCCCCCTTGGTGGACGGACCAGAAGCGCGTCGAGTGCCTGACCAAGGGCATCGACCGGAGTGCCGACAACTGGCACGACCTTCATACCATGGCCCGGGACGTGGATGTTGTCGTGGTGTACGAAGCTGCCATCATGGCGATGCAGCTTCGTGTCTTTGCCGAGACGGTGAAGGGAAGCGGGCCCGCGGGGACGGATGGGCGGCTGCTGCTGCAATACATGGTGGTGATAGAGGAGGCGGCCCGACGCATAGTGGCCAAGGAGGCGA